GGGTTTGAAGGGCAGGCCCCGATGTCTAACGTCGCTCTTGGATCCCGCAAAAAAAACACATTTTGAAGCAGCGTCTTGATGAGGGATTTGAAGGGTTTGCGGGGTTTGACGGGCAGGCCCTGATGTCTCACGTCGCGTTCGGATCCTGTAAAAAAAACATTTTGGAGCAGCCTCGAGCAAGCCCCTTCTGGCAAGTTTCGAGGGGTTTGAGGGATTTGAGGGGTTTGAGGGGTTTGAAGGGCAGGCCCCGATGTCTAACGTCGCTCTTGGATCCCGTAAAAAAACGCATTTTGAAGCAGCCTCGAGCAAGCCCCTTCTGGCAAGTTTCGAGGCTTTTGGGGGATTTGAGGGGTTTGAGGGGTTAAAGGGCAGGCCCCGATGTCTAACGTCGCTTTTGGATCCCGTACAAAAAACAAAAACACATTTTGATGAGGGATTTGAGGGGCTTGCGGGGTTTGACGGGCAGGCCCTGATGTCTCACGTCGCTTTCGGATCCCATACAAAAACATTTTGACGCAGCCTCGAGCAAGCCCCTTCTGGCAAGTTTCGAGGCTTTTGGAGGATTTGAGGGGTTTGAGGGGTTTGAAGGGCAGGCCCCGATGTCTAACGTCGCTTTTGGATCCCGTAAAAAAACAAAAACACATTTTGAAGCAGCCTCGAGGTTTGAGGGTTTGAAGGGCCCAGATGTCTAACGTCGCTTTCGGATCCCGTAAAAAAACATTTTGGAGCAGCCTCGAGCAAGCCCCTTCTGGCAAGTTTCGAGACTCGTCCCCTCCCTCCAAAGCTCCCAGACATCGGCCAGTATCTGGGGCGCCATCTCCGGGGCCGCTCCGTGCGCCCCCACACAGCAGACCATGCTCGAACCCTCCACACCCTGAGCACTCGTACCTTCTCTCACGCGCTCCCCTTGCAGTCGCAAGGGGTCGGCGGATTTGGATTTGCTTTTTGTTGCTTTTCTTGCTTTTCCTTGCTTCTCTAGGACCGCCCCTGCTTTTCTTTCTTGTCCTTGCTTCTCATTGCTGTTCTGTGGTTGCTCCCGCTCTTTTTCTTGCTTTTTTTGCTTTTCCGTGTCTGGCTTTTCGTTGCTTCTTTGTGAATGCATTTTTTAAAGTTACTTTTCCTGCTCCCTTTGCACTTGGTTTGTTCTTCCTGGCTTTTCTTCTTTACCTGCATCTTTGTTCATGAGAATTATCCTTTTTATTATGAGAATTGTCCTTTTTTCCTGTATGAAAGTAAGAGTTGGGTATTACAGTG